TGATTCTTAATTTAAAGAGGTTCAGTCAGACAGCATTCATTAAACTGCATAACAGAATGACATATCTGAATTTTTTTTTGTTAGGAATACAAGTATTTCTTATGATACTTTATGTTTCATATCGAGCTCATTTGCTATCATCTGTGCAAACTTCTGGAAAAGTTAGGTTGCTCAGACACAAAGCAGAATCAGACAGCAATCATGATTAAAACCATCATCTTCATGTGCAAGTGTGCAGAGAACTTGAGAAATGAAAAAGCAACTCAAAAGTGAAGAACAATATTTTATTCCTCAAAATGAGTTAAGAGAAGTCAGAAAGTCTGAGGTTTTGGACACCAATTTCAATACAAGACTTGACATCAGTACCACATGAAATAATGGGCATTTTAAAATATTCTTGTGGCATTCACTGGATGGCCACGGCAGCTACACAGATACATGTGACAAGATCCTCTTCGCTGTCCATGGGTGTGTTATATACTAGACCTTTCATGTAACCCCAAATTGATGGTAGGCTCTCTTTTTAGTTTAAAGAGCTGTTCGTGTGTAATGCGTGGGATAACTAATGGAAGTGTGAGGAGGTTGTAGAAGAAATAAAACAAAACAAAAGATTTTACAAACACACATATTTTATTTTAGTTTTTATTACATTTAATCATTCAAAATAATCCTATGTAAAATTGGGCAGTGATATGAGAAGATACGTAATTTGAGATGTTTTTCAGTTGTATAGTTTACTTAAGATAGTTACTTGGCATCATATTGAGTTAAAATTATGTTTCATAAAATCAAATGCATTTTCATTTCATTTGACGTCTATATTGAAATCTCCCATCATAATAATAGGAACATGTGTATCTACAGTAATATTTTACAGAATATTTCATCAGTACACTAAGCAAGAACATCTTCAAAGAACCTGAATTAACAGTTGGATGAATATATATATGGTTGCTGGAATAAATCTTAATAATAATCTGTCCATTAACAATTACATCAGCCATACAAATATCACTTGCTTCTGAATACTCTATTCTCTTATGCTTTTTAACATTAAACTCTATTGGTACACAATATGCTACACTCATCAAATTTCTATAAATCGCAATACCACTAGCTTGGGGAAATAAAATACAGCAAACATTACCTGAATACACTGACTGTCTACTAGACGACCTTGCCACTGGCATGTGGTCATACATTTGCACCTAGCTATTCTTGACATTTTACTATGTGTATATCCTTTGTCCATTTTTTGGGGGGGAATTTGCTAATGTTCTCTTTCATCTGTCTAATGATGTATTTACATTGATTGTAACATTTGTAGTTTTGAAGATATAAGCATTCATGAACATGCCAAATAGCATCTTTAACATAACCCTACATTAAAAATTACAGGGAAGGTAGGTCTGGTGATTATGCAGGCCATTGAATGCGGCCATCATGTTTAATCCACTGTTATCCAAATGTTGCACAAAGTTGCTCCCAAATATCATATCTGAAATAGACCTAGCCCTCATTATTCTAGAACCACATAATATAGAGCAGTGAGTGCTGGAAATGTTAATCATTCAGCAATTCAGGCATCCTCCCCAAAAAAATCTTATGATAATCATCTGTACAAATGAATAATGAAAAAATAGGGGTCTATTAACCGCTTAATGAGCAAATTTATATTAAAAATTATGCCGAAAATCCATGAACTTTTTATAACATTTTTATTATCTACAGATATAGCTCACCAGATGTAGCTTTGTAAGGTGCCAAATTTTTTTTTTCGAGGGGGAAAACAAGATATTTATTATGGTTCATGACATTATCCTAATTAACTTGGGCTTCAGTGAAACAGGGACAAAAAAAACACACAATCTAGCCAAAAGTAATACAAAACTGTAGTCTAGGTAATAAGAGCTAAAGTAGAAATCCAATAAATACATTTTACAATCTATAGATACCATTGACAGTATGCTACAGTCTGAAACATGGTATAACCCATAGTGGCACATCACACAGTGTGCAACAGCGTGATAATCTGGTAATCTGCATGGACTAACAAAAGAAACTGAATTTACAATTCAGTTCTGCAGCTCAGGGTCATAGAGGAACCAATTACAAAACCTGCTTGGACCCCTCCCACAGCTAAGAAAACATAAGAATGGCAGAGTGTTGATTGCCATATGATATTACAGGCGATGGCATTAAGTATCCATAAAATTTTCAGTGCCCGAGTTAACCTGTCCATAGGAAAATTGAAACGGTGTCTATTTCCAAGATATCTCGGGCGCGGTCATTTAACGTTTAAGTGGTCTTCCACATTGCTGGACTGTATACTGACTGCAAACCAAAGTTGTGTTGCACATGTTTGTGTAGTATAGATACTTATCATTACCCATACATGCAAGTTGTGTGTATTACAGCAACATTCCCTCATAAAGTATGCTTCATCAATGAATAAGATGCAAACCAAAAAAAAAGGGGGGGGGACTTTTCACACTCTTTTGCAGATGATATCATTGAGCAAAAGCAAGCCTTTGTTGATAATCAATCACTAGGCAGCAGCAGCTGATATGCTGCTCATGGTGTAAGGATTCATTTATTCAAGTTCAGGATCCTCCAGACGGTGGTTTGGGAAAGACCAAAGCAAGTAGCCATCACTCATGAACTGTCATGTAGAGTTTCTTCTGCATGATGAAGCAACTATCTTTTTGTTTTAGAAGTCCATGCCATTCATCCCAAATTCCTGGCACATCTTAAAAAAAAAAAAAAAAAAAAAAAAAGAGAGAGAGAGAGAGAGAATCCATTTTACATAATCTTTGACATCATGCAAACCAGTTTACCATTACTGCTGCAACTCTACTGCATTACAGTTGCATTTCTGTTCCTGTATTACTAATTGATCTTATTTCTTCTGTGAATGATCAGCCCTTGACAGAAGTTTATACACATTGAAATGACACAAATGAACTCACTTGTGAATTCACAGACAAATGAATCATTAAATATATGAGTAGAATACAATATAAAGCTTAAAGATAATTTTTATTGAATGTAATAAAAATTAAATGAATTGAAATATCTAAAAAAAAGCTCATATCTGCCAGTTTTCATTTTTGAAATATATGCATTTTCATATTTTTATGAATTGACTGATAAATTAAAAATTTTTAGGTGTCATTATTTATTTGAATTAGAATTTTCTGAGAAAGAAAATATGTTGTTTATAATTGCATTCTTTAATGATATTAATGATATTGTTTTATATTCACAATAAATGTCGGTATCATTTACTTGGTGTATAGAAATTATTATGTAAATGGATGTATAAAACTTGACTTATAAACGCTTTAAAAACATAAAACATATCGGTTAAAATTTAACCCCCCCCCCCCCGCCCAAAAGTGGAGACTTACTTTTTCTTTTAAATCAGCATTTTTAGGATGAACCTGCTAGTAAATTACAAGGTAGTAAAATTCTAGTAATTCATCATGCTTGTATCCAATGTAAGTGCTGTTGTGCAGCATGAATGCAACTTGAATGCTGATAAACTGCAGGTGTGATTTTTAGAAGTAATTTGAAGCATTTTGCACTTGCTTCAGGGTCAGCATTATGTAGCACTATTCTATAGAAGAAAGTAAAAATATATTTCTATGGTCAATCGCTCTGAACTACTGAACTCAATCTCTAATGTACCTCTGAATAATTTTATGGTCACGCTTTATGTAAACAAAATTAGCTGATTGGGTTAAAGATAAGCCAAATTTGAAAAACCTTGCTGGTATAAGAAGTGGAGAATGATGAGGAAGAATATTTAATTAATTCCCATCTCATTTCTCATTCTGGAACTAATATTACTTGCTGTAAGGGTTTTTGAAGTGTTAAATATATTTATAAAATGTGCAGAGTATAATAAACCAGAAAGCATTCGAGAAGGAAATTTTTTTAAATTTTCTCATTAACAGTGTTTTGACATTTGAACTGTGAAAAGTTTTCATACAACAGCAATAATGTAGATTCCAGAACATAAATTTATAAAAACTAATTAATTAATCATATCCAATAGTTTATCATCTAGTGTAATTTTAATCATTAAATGTGTTCGAGTTATTCTGTGTAAAACTTTATGTAAAATTTTGCATTTTTATAATAAATTATGTTGCTAAAATTTGTTATTTGCTGCATTATATTGATAAGTCCATTAATTCTGCATCTGATTATTCACCATTACTGGATTTCCGAATTTTTTAATTATCAAACTGTGTCTCTGATTTGGATGAATATAAAAGTAAAATTCAAGGTAGTTTTGAAAAACTAAAAGATTGCACTGTTCTATGACATAAAAAGAAACATGTCTTTTTAAGTTAAAAATGGATTTTAAGGTGGTCAGCTCTGTAATAAAATGGTTTGTTATAAAGTTTATATTTTATATATTTTTTGCACTAGTTTGATCAATTTCTGAAAGTATTTTAATGCAGTATTTGAAGTTCATATAAAATATGCTTCAAAGAAAAGGAAAGTAGTTGATAGTCTTCGAATAAAGTGTGATTTTTCCTTCTGTAGTTCATTAAATGTAATATAAGTGTTTAAAGTACATAAAATATGAAAATTAAATTTTCTTAGTTTAAGATGCACATTTATAATTTAAGATTATTTGTGTAAATTTTATCATACAGTATTATTAAAATTTTATTATATCATTTTTTATAGTTATTTATTTATTTATTTATTTTTTTTCAAAATTTGTGCACGTTAAAGGGATTACATGATGTAGTTAGTGGCCATCACCTGACAAAAAGATTTAATTTATTTAATATTTTTTGCATTAGATATATTGAAAATATTTCCATTATAAATAGTGCATATATTTTCAAAGATTGTATGGTATCTATGAACATGAAATGCTCTTTGTTATCTTACCTAATAATATTATAAAAATTTTTATTTGTGTTTATTTATTTATTTTGTATTTTGTTTATTTTTAATCTCTATATTCTTGTTTTCAGATGAGAAAAATATAGACTATAATGAGGAATTATATTGTGTTGCATGTGAGAAGGATTTTAGATCTGCCAAAGCGTAAGCATCTGCTTATATTCATGATTGAAAGGTTCAGAATATATTTTAAATTTATTTTGACTTATCTTTACTTGTTTTCCCCCCATTTATGTAGAATGAAAAATCATGAAAACTCAAAAAAACATAAGGAAAATGTTGCTCTTTTAAAATTTATGATGGAGGAAGAAGAGGCAATGGAAAATAGTAATGCAGCTGAAAATGGCATTGAAGAAGAGGATGATAATACATCAAAAAAGTCTGATTCAGATGAAAATGTATCTAGTGAAGCATTGCTAGATGTGTTGATAAAAAGGTAATAAAATTGGTTAAATTTTAAGATAAATTGTGTTATAATAATAAAATGCCAAAGCTTATTCGAAAAAATTTTTTATTTCTTTTAAAATAACGTAAATGAATTGTAATAAATATTTTTTGATAATTTCTTTTAAAATAAAATTGTTTGAAAAAACTAAATTATGTAACTGAGTTGTTCAGATCTCATGTTGTCAGAATTATGCTTTGTTGTTAATTTAACATTATTATTGCTGGTACTATTAAAAAAAAAGAAGAAAATTAAAAAGAGAAAAGAAAGAAAGAAAAGGTAATAAATTTTTACTGAAATTTTAGTCTTCCTTAAATAAATAGCAAAAAGTTATTCTTGTCTTCTTAATTAAGTCAAGAATATTCAGTCAAATTAAAATTATTAAGAATTGATAATTTAAAAAATTATTGATTTTTTTATTATTATAATTTTGAATACAAATTGTTTCAGTTTTAAAAATATCAAGAAGGTTTCAAAAAGACAAGAAAGGGGAAAGGAAAAATGATTCTCTAAAATAATTTTTATGGATCATTTTAACTAAGTACTTTTCCATAAATTTGATTTCTGTTTGCACAGAAAATAGCAGTAGAGAATATTGAGCAGAGAATTAATATCAAATTTTGACCTTACACTGAGGCAAAGTTGCATTAAGGGTATGGGGAGGAATATGTGAGCCATCTGGAAATTTATGAGTGATCTAAATGTTTCCCAGATGGCCAAGAAGATATTGAAAGTGATAAATGTCACAAGAGATATGTAGTCAACAAAACTATAAGTAAAACTGAAAATTATTTTTCTTTGTTGATTTAGTTGTGTTATTTTGTGGGAAAATTATCGAATTATTGTCTGTGAGATATCCAAAGAGCTTAATATTAGTTAGATTCCTTTCTATTTCTATCCTTTCTTGTTAAAGACGTGGGTATGATATGTATGTTTGCAAAGTTTGTGCCCAAACTGTGTTGAGAGACGAAAAAGAAAACTAGATTTCTGCTGCTATAAATTTTCACTGTGCCAAAGTGGCAAAAACTTTTTGAAAAATGTTTGTAACTGGTGATGAATTATGAATATATGGTCATGATTCTAACCTTTCTGAGACCCAAGAAAGCACAAGAAGATATTATTAGTAGTTTTCTTCAAGAACCTCAAGCATCATAAATTTACTGCACCTGGCCAGAAAGTAACCAAAAAGTACTGTTGTGAAGTGTTGGGGCATTTGAGGGAATGTGTTCATCTTAAAAGACCAAAATTATATGTAACCAGTGAACTGAAAGTTCACCATGACCACACCCCTGCCATTTAACTCAGCTTATACAGTAGCTCTTACTGAAGCACAAAACTCCATGGATCAGTAGCTATGATTATCCCTCAGATCTTCTCTCTTGTCACTTTTTTCTCTTTCCAAAAATCAAGTCCATCCATCTCGCCTTGAATTGCGATGCATACATGTCTTCTTCTCATGCTGCAGCAAGTGTTCTTATTTGGCACATTTCCCATATTACTGCATACTCTTGAGCACGCATATCACGAATATATGCAACTACTTTTTTCGAAGTTCGGAAACTTGCGTTTCGAACCACGAAGAGCACGTCTTGTTTTGTTCGTTGCCGCCAGTTGATCATGATGTTTGCTCCAATTGCGTGCATACGTTTCATCAACATCTTGCTGCTGCTCTTTTTCCATTTTCCTGTGCAAATTCTATGACTTTCAGTTTGAAAGCTGCTGTATTTTCCCATTTCGAGCACGCTACTTGCCACAAGACTGATGGCTTAGTGGCTAAATGTCGGGCATTTCTATAAATAAATAATTAAAGAAACATTATTACATTTTGTTGTCCATATTTTAACATTATTTCTCTATGGCCATCAACCTTGCCATATGCTTGGTCAGAGAGGTAGTTCTCAGCATAACTCAGTGTATTGCCAATATTTTTTTTGAGTCAACATTTATCTGTAGTTTCATGCAGTTCTTTTATGCAGAATGATCACAAATATGTGAAATGTTTCATATCTATTGAATATATGTATTAATCATGCACATACTTTCAAAATTTGCTCTTACGTATTTTATAGATTACTTTTTAGCTGGATATATTTTTGTCAAGTTTTTCCCCCATTAACTGAAACTATATGATAGTAAGATAATTTACATGAAGATATTGCTTTTAAATTCATTTGTAGAATAAATTGTGTAGTTGTTTTAGTTTATTTATAGCAAACAAAGTATCTTCAATGCTTATAAATATTTCAAAGTTGCACTTGTACTATTTTAAGGTGAGAGAAAATGACAAATTATGTCCATGGTGTGTGAGACTTCTTTGTGGATTGAAATGTTAAAATCATTTTCAGAGCTTTTCCATCAAGAATATATTTTATTTATTTTGACAGCTTTATAATGCTTTATTGTTTTTTCATTCCTTATTTCTTCAAATAGCATGACCATTATTAATTGTCAAATATTGCTCATTCTCCAGGTTTCCATTTTTTAATTAATATCAGCTACTTCTTTTATCGTAAAATGCTAGGTAAAGTAAATGTTAGTAGAAGGAAGGTAATTTATAGTCACTTAAGCTGCTTTCCATTTTGTGATATCAAATTAGTAAGGTTGTTCATGTTAATGCTACAGATAAAAAACTCAGTGGCGCAAACAGCCCTAATGGGCCAATGCCTGCAGTGCCCTGAAATGTGCTTTCTTGACCGTGGGCCCCGGGTGCATAAGCATATGCCCTGAACAAGTGGTCAGCTTGTCGCAGGACCCCCAGTGTTTAGTCCCCAAGCGAACTTGGTACTCATTTTATCGACCCAAGGGATGGAAATCAAGGAACAAAAGGCTGAGTCGACCTTGCCCAGCCCGGGGTTCGAACCCCGGATCTATCGTGCTGCTGTGCAATGCACTAGCCACTGCGCCACCGGGCCTCTAATGCTACAGATAGACCAAATAAAATATTTTGGAAAGTTAATTAGAGTATCAACTAATCCCAGGATCTAGACCAGGGCTTTCTCAACCTTTGATAGTTTCAGAGGGAGATTTGGTCAGCCTTCGTTTAGCTGCTAAGTATTTACTGTTAGTTTATAAATGTAAAAAAACTACTCTTTTTCAAATTTTGGCATTTATCAACATTTTTTATACATTTTATTGTGTCATTTATAAAACACATTAAAAATATCATCCAAATCTAGATAAATAATTATTTTGAAAAGGAGGAAGAGTGATCTAGCATTGGTGAAAGGGGTGCATTGAACAAAAAAGGTTGAGAATCTTTAATCTAAACAGAAGGTTCCATTGTATTTAGTAATGCAATTTGTTTACATACATGTGTTTTTATATTGACTGTCCATCTTATAATTGCTGTGGGCATTAGAATGAATTAAATAAAGAAATTTCTACATTAGCTTTCCATATTTAGTTCCTGAAAGAATCCTTTAATTAATCCTTTAATGCAATTTGTTTGCTTACATGTGTTTTTATATTGACTGTCCATCTTACAATTGCTGTGAGCATTAGAATGAATTAAATAAAGAAATTTCTACATTAGCCTTCCATATTTAGTTCCTGAAAGAATCCTTTAATTTTCCCTCCAGTTGTTAATCAAAACATCTGGTATTTAATGCAGTCTTTTATACTATCATTTTGGTAAATGGTTAATATAATAGTTGATCATTCAATTATATGATTTTTATCAAAAGAAATGTTTTGTCATCATTGTGTTTTCAAAGAATACTAATAACAAAATGAAAAGAATATCTTTAACTTAAAGTATCAATTTTATAATTTTATTTCTTCAAGTTATTTGCATAAAGGAGTGTTCTCCCATGCAATAAATTTTGAAAAAAATTGCAGCTTACAGTCCCGAGATTTGCAAAAGGAGCAAGTTTCTTTTCTTCTCCCTTTATTTTCTAACTGTATTTAACAGGTGTGGCCAAACTTCATGCTGACAGGAGCCGCATAGTAAATTTCATGAATGTTCGAGAGCCATAAATCCGTATTTATACTGTTTCAAAAATAATAAGACATGTTTTCAATGGAATGAAACTTTTGAAGTAAATTAATGAGAATTTTGCATTTAATGTGTGATTAACATGGTTACATATAAATGTAAGTAAATATTTTTTTTCTCTGCCCTGTATTCAGAAAAGTAGATCACAATAAAATATAAATTTGAAATTACTGTATTATGTACTTTCAGACAGATAAAGCAAACATTTTCTTTTTGTCTCCTTTATCCTCCTCATTTTGCAATCGTTGTTTGATTTTAGTAGAAGTAAGCTAAAATCGGAAGAATATGTATTGGTCTTTAAAAATACAGTTATGTAAAACGTTTTTCGTTTGAGTGAATTATAAATAATTAATTTAAAAAAAGAGTATTTTTTTCTTTAACTCAAAAGTAGTCTTTTTTAAAAAATAAATAAAGCAATGCAAGTCAACACACATTGCAGAGAAACTTTTATTTCAGAAAGAAAAAATATTTTAAAAAAAGCTATCAACTTTTTTTAAAATTAAATTGAAATTAATTTCCTAAATGGAATCTTTTATCAACTTTTCTTTTTCATAAAAATTAATAATTTATTATTATTATTATTATTTTAGCATACCGAGACCAAATGTAGCGTTAAATAATTGAATTAATTTATTAGATGCAAAAATGGATTTCAAGTTGCATTTTGATTCTTCTACAGACATTTGAATCCTCAGATCTCAGAAATTTTCAGGAAGATTTTAAATTCCAAACATCAAATCTTGGAGCTTTTATCATCATTCTAATGTTTTGAATCCTAACCTTAGAAATTGTTAAAAATTTTAACCCAAAACTTTAGAACGACTAATTAAGTGATGTCCAGTGTAGAAAAATTAACAAAAAATTAAACACAATTGCTATGGTGTCTGAATCATCAGTGTCACTCTTGATGGTGCTAAGTGTTATATTATTTCAATGTAGCATCCAGCAAAATCTGCCAGAATTTTTATCTAATCATTACACCTGAGCATCCTTGAAAATTTTCGAAACTATCCCAATAATTCTGAGCATAGATGACTTATTGCTAATAAATCTAGTGGTTCATAAAATATATAAATATTTCATAGGCCACATATTTCAACTGTCTACTTGTCGATTTCTTCAGCCGTGGATGTTGAATTTAGGGCTAATTTCAAATACAAGGGACATAAAAACTAATAGTACAAAAAGAAAATATGCTTACAACTACTATAACAAATTTATTTCACAAATGCAGATAATGCATATATAATAGGATAGTTTAATTCTCCAAATTTCTATAGAAATGCACAGACATGCTAGATGTCTACACAATAGTTTAGATCCTGAGTTCCTGTTATACTTGTATATTCGTATTCAAATTGTTAACTGTTGGACCCATAAATGCTATCAATTGATTTACCGTTTTATCTTAAATTTCTAAGTGAAATAACTCCAACAGAGAAAGGATAAAATAAAATGGGAGGAAAGAATAAAACACATTTTTTTAAAATTTATTCTTCAGTGTAATGGTTACACAACCTGCATATAGGAAAAACAATCCTAAATGGAATTTGAATTGAATTTTTGAAATGGAATCTGTAGGCGTATGAGGGTACTATGATTGTAGAAAATCAGACTTCCAACTGAAAATTTATAGAGGGAAATCCTGAAAAGTTTCACATTACATTGCTTGAAACTTGCAATGACCAGGCAGAGGCTCGTAGCACTACAACATTCCTTTAGGCTATAGAGCTTTCATGGAGAATGTGGCTGACATACATAATGATCAAAGATTAAGAAGATAAAATATATCAATATATTAAAGAAGTATAATGCCAGTACCAGAGCTGGGTTAACTGGTGCTATGTCACTGAGCGGCAGAACTAAGGGTGAAAAATTTTAGAAGTACTGGGGGTCGGAAAGTGTCTATCCTACTGCTTTATTCTTGTGATGACATAGAAAGAAAGAAGTTCGCTAAGCAGCATACAAGAAACTAGCACAAGCGATTTTATCTGTATCACTATGCCATATTTTGACAGAAGTTTTGTAGAAGAGAGATATTTGTATCCAGTTCATCCTTCATTGGTTAATGCAACATGATGAAGGTGAAAGATTTACATCTCGAATGACAGCAGTTGACAAAATGGGAATTGAGCACTTTGAGCAGAATTGAAATCATTGTCAAACAATTGGTCCTCCCTCAGATCTAAAAAAGTTAAGCATGCTCAAACATTGATGAAATAAATTATGATTTCTCCCCAGAATTACCAAGGAATTAGTACAGAAGATAAAGTTTTGCAAGAAAAATGTTTTAACTGCAGCATATTATTGTGAGATGTTGCAAAATATGTGAAGAAATTGCATAAAAATGATTTGCCTTCCTTAGGGATGTGGAATTAATTTTGAAGGACACCCACACATGAGATAATTGGGCAACTCTCCTAACCAAATAAGAACGGGAAAGTTTATTTTGCCAATCCTGCAATCCCCAGATTTTGAATTTCTCCCCAAATTGGAATAGCCATAGCAGATTTTCCTTCTTGAAACAGATTTCTTTAGTGACCCAAGTCATTCAAGGACTGAATAAATGTAGTATTCTACAAAGAATAACTAATCTTCCAACACGTTGGATTTCAACTGTGGTAAAGCAATGAAATGGGGCAATGTAGAGGGAATTACTTTTTAAATTATCTTGTATTTGTAAATTTTAGGCTTTTTTGACAGCCCATTATCTGTTCTAAAAGTAATATTCTAAGATAGCTATTAATGGAAATAGAATTTTTTGCAATTTTGTTTGCTACTCTGACGATAATTCTACGGCAGACAGTTTGAAATTGATTAAATTATTACACACATGATATAAGAAGTTAAATTAGCTATTAATAAAGAAATGTGTCATTTCGTGGTTTTTATTTCAAAAAGCAATTATATTAAAAAAATAAACAACTGTTTGTAGCAAACAAGTCTCATTTCAGAGAGCAAATTGCAGCAAGTATCTCACGAGCCACAATTAGGACATTGGAGAATTTATTTGAACTTGTATATTGAATACACATGTTCCACAACAATCCATTTTCATGCAGAATGTTAAAGTTAATTCAAGTATTTTAAACAGTATTGTCCTACTGAAGATAATGTAATTCATTTATGTTTTTAAGAGATCAACAGTAGTTTTTTATTTGTTGTTAGTTATCATTTAACAGTATGCTTTCTTATTTTGCATACAGTTCCACAAAATCCAAAAAGAAGAAGAAGAAAAACAAGGTGGCTGTACTTGAACCTGAAGAATCTGTAAGTTCAGTTTTAAAAATCCTTCATAATGTTTCACATAGCTATAGTTAAAAACTACCTATTGATTACTAGCTGAACTTTAACATTTAAATGATTTGCTTATAATTTATATATTCTGTGTTTAAATATTTAGCATGTAAACATGATGAAGATATATTTAACCCTTTGAAAGTTGCCAAAATCAACTGTCATTGCTTTCCTTTTACTTACAATATCCCGCTGCAGCACCGTTCAGAATTCTCTCAGTTGCTTATACTCGATGATAACTTTTTGTGTGTTTTATATTTTTAATTGAATTTTAATTGTTGTAAGTAGAAGTTTTAACAAACACTATATACATTTTGAAGTAGTTAAAGAATAAATGTTAAAAGATAAATTAGTGTAACTTTATGTAGCATTACAGAATGTATTTACTTAAAGAATTTTTTTTTTTTTTTTTTTCCTTGTACTTCTTCAAATTTAACTGTTAACAAACATTGCAGTAAGTAGTGTTAATACAGTACTTACATTATTCTCAGATTAATAATATATTCTGAATAGTGTAAATTCTTGAAATAATCTTTTCAGTCACATAGTGATTCAATTCTCTAGAGATATGATTTACAGCTTCATTAGGTTGAAGTATTCTAAAGGAACAATTATGTTTATTACTTGTAATTTAAGATAATTTGAATGATTTTCATGTCTTCTGTTCTTAAAAGCTTAAATAACTATAGCTTTACAATGGCCCAAATGTGACAGGCAATAATTCATAATCACTTATACTTGGTGGCTGGATGTCCTCCTTCCCAAGTCGACCTGTAAGTATGTGCGAATGTAAAAATTTTCCCCTTTCCCTGTCTATGATATAAGTGGCATTATGTCCACCTAGGGATCAGAAGATCCTGAAATTAAATCCCAATGTTCAATTTAGTACCGCAGTTCACTTTTTTCACATTTCTAACTTCAAAATTTCTTATTAAAAAAATCTTGTGAATGTCTTTCAACTAAAATGTGGCAGATGATATTTTGTCAGCACCTAGACATAGCAACTGGGTCTACTTCCCATCCAGTCACAAGTGAAGGAGAATATAAGAACGTATATTTCTCCACTATGTGGGTTTGTGGTATAAGTGATGCATATCCTACTAGCAATAAAAAAAAACCTGCACTGAAATCTTAACAAGGGCATAGGTGAATTTCTAATGCTTCTTATATGGGGGGGGGAGACAAGAAAACTAATAGCTGTGCAAACTAACAAAGCTGATATCCAAGTTTCCATTAAAGTGAAATCTTTAATTGCTGAAAATGCTTTATTTTTCAAAATCTGTTTATTAGTAGAATGAAATTTATTTATTCTTTTGGGGAACGATTTGAGGAAATAAATTACTATTGAAATGAAGAATGATGATGCCACAATGTTGCAACTAACTTCCTCTTCATTTTGCAAGAAATTATACAGTATATGTGACTTATAATCAATTAGTTTCTGTGATTTATACTTGTTTGTAATGCAAAGAACATTGAACTATTTCAAGGTTGTTATTCTGATGTTAGCTTGGTTTTGCATATTGGCAAAAAATTCTATGTTGTGAGTAGAATTTGTGTCCTTTAAGCAAACATTGTTAATGTAACTGAATTCATTTGCATGCACTCGACATTCATTCATGAGCAGAACTCGTTCGCAACCAACAAAGGGTTAATAAGCCTTGTTTGGGACTGATATTAGAATTAAAAGTATTAAATAATGAAAAACTTCATTGAAATTGTTTCGATGAATTCATTGAAATTCAAAATAACCAGTATTTGAAGTTTTGTTTTTTAAAAGTATTGAATTTTATTTAAGACTATTTTATGTTTTAAAATGTAGAAATATGTCAAAATACATTGTTAATAATTTAGAAAACATTTATTTCTGTAAAGATAATACAGATTTTTTTAGTTGAATTTATTTATTTATTGTGTTATTTATTTTAAAAATATGCCAACTATATTTTGAAAAAGTGTCCTTAATGGTTATTGTGCTCCTTTTTAAATTTTAGATTGATTCGAGCACCTTAGATTCAGAAATGAGTAAAATTAAAATTGAAGATGATGATCTAACAAATGAAAGCCAAAAAGATATCCCCGAAGATAATGCTGAACAGAATTTGACAGCTAAAAGGTAATCAGTAAATTATATAAGCAAAATTTTGTAAATTGCCCAATAGACAGGAAAATGGTTAGTGACTCTGACTGGCCACACTGAAGGGCCTGCTTCTGAATCCCAAATAAGGCATAGTTGTAATTTTTTCATCACTTCATAGGAGGCAGTGGTAGCCCACTTATTAGGTGACAAAGAGACCACCTATTGGAGAAAACCTTATAATACCAGCAGCTAAAGATATCGTTTTAACATTATTAAATAAAAATAATTATAATTTTTAATCTAATTAATAATATTCCATTAAAAATGATACGGTAAGTCAACGAATTCATGAAATGGCAAATTCTTTAAAAAAGGCACTTATTCAAAAAATAAAACAGTGAGTATTTCCATTGCAGTTGAATGAAAATACTGATAAAACAAACTTTGTTCAATTATTAGTTTACATATGTTTTGAAGAAGTTAAACGAATTGCTGAAGAGTATTTATTTGTGGATCTCTTCATGATAGAGCAACTGCAAATGAAATTTTCAAAGTAATTGACAATTTGATATATGAGAATAATATTCCTTGGAATAAGTGCATTGCTATATGTAGTTACGGAGCTCGGGCTATAACAGGAAAACATTCCGAGTTATTTCTCAAATAAAGAAAGTCGCACCTGAAACTAAATTTACTCACTGCTTGATTCATCATGAAGCTTTAGTAGTCAAAACAATCCCCGAAAACCAGAAATATCGTTTTGAATCAAGTTGTGAAAATGTTAATTTTATTAAAAGCCTGGCTTTTGTTACATTCCAAAGTAAGGTGGTTAAGCAGAGGCTAAGTTTTAAATAGTTCTTTAGAACTTCAATAAGAAATTAAAAATTTCCTCTAGGATTCAAAATTTGCTTTGTATAAATGTTTATTTAGTGAATTATGGTTGGCATTGTTCACCTCTATTGTGAAGGGGGGTCAGAAATTGGACTCCACATTCATTAAAATATCAACGCCGCCATTCTGAACAAGACATTTATTCCTACTCACTGTACATATAGTATGGTACAGAAAAACTAGAAAGATTATACAGCGCCATCTCTTGGCGGGCAGGGGGGGTCATGACACACTGGGCCCCCATGATCTCGACATCAGCTCAACTAGAAATATAAATGAAACACATAAAAATTAAAAAAACTGTAAATATAATTATAAACATGAAAAAGATAAATCAATCAGTCATTTATAGGAAGTCTGACCCGTTTATGTATTGGTCGTTTCATTTCACCCGACACAGTTTTTAAGTTGACTGACCTTACTCTTTGGTCAGTTCCCTAAGTGCAAGTTACTTTTACCATGTTCCACTTAAGTGGCGGCAAGTTCTCATCCTTGATTAGCACCAATTCATTCACACGTAAATCGCCACTGGAAAGTTTTCGCACTTGCAACTGAGTCAAGTAGTCTTTTGACCATGATTTCGAAAACGATTGGGTAATCTGTGTGACTAATTTCCATGGTTCACTGATGGGAATTTTCTCATTTGTAACATCAGGCTCAGGAACACTTTTTAACTCGGATCCGATAATAAAGTGACCCGATGTAATGACAGAAAAATGATTTGGGTCCTCAGAAGCACGCACTAAAGGATGGGAGTTACGTATGGCTTCAATCTCCACTAGACACATTGAAAATTCTTCTTGTGAGAGGATCTGCGATCCTATAACACGTCTCATGTGAAACTTCATGGATTTAACGGCAGCCTCTCAGAGGCCTCCAAAATGAGTGCTGATGGAACATTCATTGTCAATTTAATGCCTTCGTTGGTCAAGTAGGTACCAAGTGCCTCCATCGTACATGCTTTTAAGTAATTCTTTGCACCGATAAAGTTTGTTCCACAATCACTGAATATTTCAGCTGGTCTTCCTCGTCGTCCTCCTACATGTAGTATGCCACTGTTGTCTAAGAATGGATTTAGAGAAATTAAAGAACTTTTCTTTAATACTCTCGCTTTCTCTAAAGTAGGTATTTCCTTTTCATACTCAGTTCTTTGGACTAGTTTGATTATAATATCATGTGCTTCTTTTAGTTCACTTGTTTTTAACAAAGGAGTCAAAATCCTATTCCCCCTCACATTTCTTATAAACCTTAAACGCCAAGCGACAACTCTCTGCAACTTGCTCCAAACTGAAAATTTGTTCCAAAACTGCTCAAGTAATTCCAACTGAACTACAAAACATTTGACAGAATTTTTTTTTTTGCTCTCTTAGTATTTCCGCACTGTCTACATTCGGTAACCCTCTAACCCACTGCTTAGGCCAACTCTTAAAACTTTTTCGAAGCCAAATGGGACCTGACCACCATTTTTCATTAAGTACCAACTTCTCAGCCGAGATTCCTCTAGTAAGCAAATCCTATCGTCAGACGAACAATAATACTTGGATTTGATCTTTTCTGAGTTTCCACAACCTGGATGGCAGCAAACTGTTTCCATCTCTTTGCACTTCCCTTCACCCAATGCAATGCAATAAAAGAATTACTCCAAAACACTATTCTTCCAATTTTATCCTTGAAAATACTCTTAAGTTAATTTCCCACTCTAGCACCTATTACCTTGGTCATTAGCTCCAACCGTGGCAGTGTTAGTTTCTTTAACTGTGACACTCTACTCTTGGACATTATATAAGATACTCTCTTCGACATTATAAAACAATATCTCGGTATAGTAACATTATAAAACGTACTCTGTAATTTCCATTATTCTCACAATATCTAAAATAAATAACAGTTCCGTAAGTATTTGGTGAGGCATAGCAAAACACATGTACTTCCGACTGCTCATTCTCACAATCCAGAAAACAATATCTCGGTATAGTAACATCTAATAATTTTCCAGTTTCATTACGCCTTGTTATCCACTTTTGCTGCAAGTCCTCGGGCAACTCTTCATTCCAGTCACACACTCTCTTCCAAATTTCCTGTAACAATAACTTTATACGCATCACAAATGGCGTAATCAAACCAATAGGGTCAAAGATTCTTGCAGCTGTCTGTAAAACACGCCTTTTAGTGCGTCACAATATTTTCCATGAATTCACCAAAACCTTCACCTCCAACGACAACTCATCTCTATCAGGATTCCAATTCAACCCTAGGACTTTCAGCTGTATAACTCCCACTATCTCACTGTCACTAAGTCCATTTTCTATCCACAATTTTTCTAATTCTCTACTGTTCGACCCCAGTTTCCTCAAATTAAATACACCACTTTTTAATACCCGATAACAAATGATTCTCTCACAGTCTCCACCATAATACAAATCGTCTATGTAAATTGATGAATTTAAAATTTCAAATGACTTCGGTTTACTTTCCCTCATATTTTTTTATATGATGCTTTATCGTAGCACTCAGAATGAAAGGGGAACTTTTACATCCAAAGGGTAGTCTTTTCATGCTCATAATTTTATATTCTTCACTAGGGTTATCTGAATACCAAAGAAATTTTAAGAATTTTCTATCTCTTTCAGAAATTTTTATCATGAAGAAAGCCTTCTCTATGTCACCATTAAACGCTATTTTATAATTACGAAATTTTCGTATCACATTAAGAATATTTCAAAGTAACAATTTTCACCCAGCTCGGAATTACTAATCCCAACTCCTCGGCCACGAGCGTCAACTCGTATTTTTTTAATGACTTAAGAGACTTCAGACTTATCTTAATTCAAAGAAAAATACAACAACCTTGAATTGACAACTAGAACACAATGAGCACAAAAATGAACACATCAAACTCAAAATAGACACTATCAACTCAAAGTATCAAGTAGGAACGCCTCAATACACAACACTAATAAACAGAATTTAACACTAAACATTATTTCAACAAACCGAAATAACTACTCGCCATAATCTACACAATGGAATCATCATCTTCACTTTCGATTTCCGCACAACACGTATTCTCATATCACGACACTATTTTTTCACACAAAATTTGATGATACACATTTTTACCACCACATTCTCACCTAATCCCTCTTCCTGACACCAAAAAAATTTTCACCTCTTTTGTGGGAACGGAATTTGGGCTTCACACTCATTAAAAGTTCAACGCCGCCATTCTGAAGAAGACATTTATTGCTACTCATTATACATATACTATGATACAGAAAAACTAGAAAGATTATACATTGCCATCTCTTGGCGGGCAGTGGAGGTCATAACAGGCATGTTTAGCATATTATGCTGATATTTTTTGAAAGTTAAATTAATTAAATTTAGGATAACAAGAGCAAAGTGTTAATTTGTTTACCATTTGAGATAAAATAATAAGCTAATAATCAAAGTTTTGGATTATAATATTTTAAGCTTTTTACCACTTTTAGAAAGTTTTCTAACCAAAAATAAAAGAATTAGCATCCAGCACTAAAAATCATTGTTTTTCATTGGTAAATAATTTCAAAAAATACATGTTGAAATTATTTACCAAAGTGAATTATCAAAGAAAAAGAACAATTGATAGAAATTTCCTGCGATTAAACTCTAACTGAAGATTTCAAAAATAACACACTTTAACTTTGGCTGAACTGGAAAAAAAAAAAAAAAAAAGGCATTTCAAATAAAGCTGTTAAATTTTTATTGGCTGTTTGTCTGAACAAGGATTTTCTTCCATGTTATGCTTAAAAAATAAATACAGAACAAAATTAAAACTGGATCTAATTTGTATTTAAAACTAAGTAAAACTAGACTAGACATAAAGAAAGTTATCTCTCTTAAACAGGCCTAAATTTCATACTAAATTTTAGAATTAAAGTGATTATAACTTAAATTTTCATAATTAATATGGTAATCAATTTTTAATCTAATATTTAATACAAACAACAAATAGGATGTGCAGATGGCAAAACATTTATATATATATATATTTATTTAGAAACTGAAAAAATAATCATTGTAAAATGTAGTGGTGGTACTAAAAGTTTTTAAATTTTTGTTCAAATGGTACATATTAGTCAAAGGTTAAGAACTGCTGCTTTAGA